GAAATTAAGGAGCATAATTGAAAAAGGCTCAGTCAACACTGACTTAAATAAAAGGAAAGGGATCAGAATGGCATCATACAGAAGGAGCCGAGAGATCTTGACATTTTGGACTAAATTTTACTTGGCCTTCTGCATTGTAAGATGGAAGGTGAGAACTTGTACAATTCATCTCAAACTAATCAAAACTAGCACAAATCATCATCTGATAAATTCTTTTAATCAGAACTATTAACTGTGCACTTGTTTCAAGTTCAACATATTATACTTTCACAAGGGTCCTGTTGTCACAAAGTTGGTTTTAGGTGACTGCTTCCCTCTATCACGTTTCTGAGGCTGTAAGTCTTTCTAAGAGGAGCCTGTTCTTTTGTTCCCTAAGGGGTGGCTGGTGCATTTGAACTTCTGACCTCTGCATTAGAAGCATAATTCATAAAAAATGATACTTCCAGAGCTCGTTTTTCGGAGGCGGTATCGCATACTAGTGGTGTTCTCTGGTTAAGCACTTGAACTGCTAACTGAACAGGGAGCAGTTCAAGACACACCAGCTGCTCTGTTAGAAAAAAGACATGACCATCGGTTCCTGTAAAGATGACAGCTGAAGAAACGCTAAGCAGTAAAGCGTTAGACTCTGTGTCAGAAGAAACTTGATAGCGATGGGTTTGTAGTTTTGTTTGGGGCAGGGTACATAATAAATATAAGAGAAGGTTCCTGGCCTCAAAAGACTCATAATAACTGCATGAAGAAACTGGTCAATTATTTCAGCACTTATGTGGCATCCACTTCCGTAATAGCTTGCCTCTAGAAACCCTATGAACCTGGAGAGAGGATGAAAGACATACAAATGTTGAGGACTCTCCTTCTAGGGTCGCTATGAGTCACCTGCGACTTGATGGTAGTTAACAACAACAACGTATATAAGATTAAACATATTCAGAAATAAGTGAGAGAGGTTCTGGGGAAGTGACAAGCAGGAAGAGCTCAGCCCAGGAGGGTTGCTGGCTGCAACAGGCACCCAGTGGTTGGTTACTACACCTTCTTCCCTCCCGGCAGATTCTCCATTGTAACCTGAGTAACACCTCTCCCAGGACATTGCTCCTTAACTATGGAAGGACTCCTATGCCTTTATAAATACAGTATCAATAATTCACATGGTAAACACAGGCCAGGCCGATGGTGAGGCATTTTCAGAGAGTACACCACAAAGCTTATCAGAAAAGAGCACACAATGAGCAGGAAACACAAGTTGGCCTCAGCTGCATCCACACACGCTCATCCACAAGAAAGCACCCTATTCCTCTATAAACTGTTTCAGCACAACCCAGCCAGTTTTCAGGCCCTCCTGGTCATACAACTGCTTCCTCCTGTCAAATGCTCTGGGTTTATAAAGGTAATTACGAGCAAGCCACCCAGTGCTCACCAATAGGCATTAGGAAAGTCCAAGAAATAGGTCCTGTGTTCAAGAAAGCTGAGAGATCTCTTGGGAAGGAAGAACCTTGGAGCAATAGAAGAATGAGGAAATGTTAGAGTTTAAGGAGAAATGATTTCAAGAAGGCCAAGTAATCAAGGAATCAGGGGAGCTCTGAGAGAAAGATGGGGTGAGAGGGCAGCAGAGGTGGCTGCTAAACTGGGGAGGGAGAAAGTAGCCAGGGACAGGGCACAGGTGCCAAGCAGGAATGTCAGTGGGAGAAAGATTGATGCATCTTTTATAGTAGCCCTGTGCGGGGAAGGCAGTGGACTGTGGAGTGCGGAGCTAGACAGCAGCATTTGAAGATTCAAAGAGGGAGCCTTCACCCAAGCAGCCCTGCCGGCAGATGTGCAGGGAGAGTGTACTTAAGAAGGGACAGTGGGAGACAGGGTGCCACCTTAAGTCTGAAAGGATTCCAATTGGGCCAGAAAGCAGCTGTGGTGGCTTCCCAGAGTAGTGCCTGCCCAATCACAGCACAAAAGCAGCAAGGAAAGATTTCTTTGCTACTCCTGCATCCATCTCCTTGAAGAAGCATAAACACACTTGTCCAAGAAAGTACATTCTGGTGAAATCATTTGTCTCAAACTTCCAACAACCCACACTCCCCCAATGATACACATTCAAATTTACAGTTTCATTGTATTGAGAAGGATTTCAACAGTGACTAGCCTGACATTTTTGAAATATTTTTATAAACCACGGCATAGGAAATCTCAAGAACTTCTGTTCACCAACTTTAGAGGAATTTCAGGATCATACAGTCCCACCTTCAGCTTCCTCTAGGCTTCACTCAGTACTGGTCTGAGTGGACCCAGAAGTGGAAAAGCTTAGTCCCACACTCTCCTGATGTCCCTCTGCAAACATAAATAATCCAAGGAGCTCTAGTGGCATAATCCGTGATGAGCTGCACTGCTAACCCAAAGGTGGTGCCTCTCTGGTGGTTCGAGTCCACCACTGGCTCTGAAGAAAGAAGATGGACAATCTTCTCTTAGACAATTTACAGTGGAGAGTCAGCTGGGAGTTGGTTTGTTGTTTTGGTTTTTTTTTTGGGGGGGTAGGTTTTGGTGTTTGCTTTTTTGTTGGGGGAGGGGGTACTGTTTTTTAAAGCATAATCAAAGGCGATCCCCAAATATGAATTCAAGTTTAGAGAATGTCTTTCATTCATTCCATAAGTGCAAAAGAGAAACCGTCAACACTCAGTTTATGGGCACCAGGGAACAAAAAACAGAAACACTTTTGCAAGGTAAATGAAGGGCTAAGGGGTTTATCTCTTCTGAGTCCCACCAGCTTTAATGTAGCAATGTCAGCTGATCCCTATTAAGAACAATGGAAAGTGAAAGACACTGATTACAATAAAAAGTGACAGGAGGGAGTGCCATGCCACTTGCATTTAATGCATATTTATATTCCAATCAAATGGACATATTTACTATAAACACTTGAAAATCCATAGCAAAGTCACTTGTTTAAATGCCAGAAAAATAGTAAAAGATGCTAATTTGACCTTAGTGGAACAGATCTTGTGTAGCTGACACTCTACTCACAAGGGCTTGAAACAGAAGTTACCAAGATGATTAATTGGTGTTTACTGCATTAGGTCAAGAGTATCTCAAATTACAGGGTGATCCGAAGAAAGGGGGGAAAAATAAGAAGTCTGCATTCTTTTGGAGTTGACCATTTTAAGAATAGACACATTTAATAATGTAAATCAGTTTCCTTGTCCAAGAACTTAAGTTCTTGGAGAAAGAAACTGACATGCCAATCCTTGAGCTTTCCATCTTTGTGAACATGTAAAGATCAATCAAAAGACTATGATCATCAGAAAGCTCTTTTTTTATGCAGGACAACAATCTGGAATAAGGGGTGCATTGTGGGGTGGATTTGGGTGGGGAGGGAAGAGAGGAGAAAATGTGTAACAATGAAAAATAATTATAATAAAACATTTTCTATTTTCAAAAAAAAAAGCTCTTTTTTTAAAAGGATCAGTGGATTAATAAGGCCTTAAAAGTTCTTTCACTTTCTTACTGACTTGCAAATGGTTTTACTGTAATAACGTTGAAAGCAGAGCAATGGAAAACTTAGCAATCAGGAAAGACCTTTAAGAACTATGCCTAGAAAGCACTGGGAATTTCTGCTCACAAAATCTTGGTGCAACACAGGATTTAGGATGAAGCCCAACCTTCACAACCAGCTGAAAAGACTCCTGAAACAAAGACTGGGGTCTCTGGTTTATTTGTTACAAAAATAATGAAGCCGGCAGCTCTATTACCTCATACAAAAATGATCACTCAGGACTTTAGCTTCTATGGCCAGTGCATCTCAAATATGACAATTGTGCCACTCCGTCTTTGCCTTAAAAATACATACTTTTGTTAAAAACAAACTAAGCGGCCTGATTCCTACTCACCAGGGGCTCTAACTGTCACTCTTAATTCCCAATAATCAACGGCTCGGTGACATTGCTCCAAGCTGTATATAATGCATGCACACCCATAAATTCACGACACAAATCTCGCAGCCTGACACGCGGCTCCATTTCACTGGACTCAGAAAGCTCCTAACAAATTCTTGCCACATGATTAGAAAATCATTCAAGTCTGCAAGGAAATATGGCAACACAAAGAAGTGACAGTCAATTAGAAACAAGAAAGGAGTGTGAGCCCCGGCCATGAAAATCTTTAAAACCACAGGGCCAAGATTAAAACGGCCTGGATCATTCATACAAGATGGTCTTTTAAAAAACAGGCATTAATTCGACTACATGTCAATCATATCATTAAATTACGAATGCCCAGGGGTACTACTCATGGAAGCCAGAGTCCAAAATCTGAAGACTGTAAATGAAAATTTACATAATTTATACAATTCTCTAGCTTTTTTTTTTTTCATTCTATTGACTTGAAGGAAAAGCATATACAAAGGGAGGATGTTCTTCTTTTGAGAACAAAGTGCAGATAAACTAAGACCCCACTGTCATCAAGTAGATGACATGCATGGCAACCCTCTAGAACAAAGTAGCCCTGCACCATGGAGTTTCCAAGGCTGCGGATTTTTCTGGAAGAGTACCACATCATTCTCCCTTGAAGTAGCTGGGGAGGGTAAACCACCAACCTTTCCATTAGCAGCTGAAAATGTAACAACTGAACAACCAAGATTCCTTATATAAAAGGAATTAGAAAAAAATAAATAACAATCTTATACTACTATTTTTCAATAAGTTTTACATGCAATACTAATCAATGGCATAGACATTTCAGTTATCACAGCTTTTGCCATCCTGAGTGCAACTATGTACAGAGAAATATTATCTTCTCTCTTCAGATTACGTATGCATGCACACACGCACAAGAGGAAACACCCTTCAAAGTTGAGCAAAGTACAAAATACTGGAAAATATGTACTCTTGTATTTTAATATCATTATGATGTTTCCAAAAATAACCATTCATCATCAGCTTCTTTTAAAGGAAATTCCAGAATCAGCAATATCTTAAAATCACTAGAGTAAAAAACTGAAACAAGTCAGTAAGTTCACTTACTGGTTAGCTTGTTGTGACTCAGCACCAGTTGAGTGATGTGGGATAAAGTGACTGTAAAAGAAAAAAAAATATATATATAAATAAATAAAAACCACAGTCAATATATGGATCCAAATTATACATCCACACCTACAAGATAAATTGGCAAATTAGTTTCACAGGTTGATGCAGCACCGCTCACAAAACCAGAAATGGGGATTCATAGAACATGATCTGTTAAATGTGCAACCAAATTAAGAAAAGTCATGCAATTAGTAGTGCAATTAGTACAGCAAGGAAGAGCTAATGAGATTGATGTCAGGGGACCAAATACTACAAAGGCCAGTTGGCTTTGCTTGGCTCCCTAGTCCACAGGCCTAACCTTTGCAATCCATCTAAAAATTGCAAGCTGGCCAGAAGAGCTGCCCAAGAAGGAATAGAGGAAAGCACAACGTCCTTACTTGTGCTAAAAAACTCACATGAATGCAGAAACATCACCAAACAGAAGGCAGGCAGCATGTTACTTTACCTATGACCACTGTCCACTCAGAAACTGTCCTACACATTATCAGATGATCAGAGTAAAATTCTTCCCTGATGTCCTCTAGACTGTTTGATGGACACTGCAAAGCACATGCATACTGCTTGCCAATTTTAAATATTATCATGGAGATTTAATCTGATGAACAAGATTAAAGTGACTAAAAGAACAGATTTTCCAACCATAAAGAAAGAAAATATACATATATCAAAAGACAAAACAAAACAAGTGACCTTGCTTCCACTGTAGGTCCAAAAACTTTATCAACAGCATTCTCACACACATGCATATATACATACACATAAAAGACACGTGGAATTTTTTTCAATATTCTTTCTATGGGAACATCTTATTAATTCAGTATTTTCTGTTTATTTCACCTGGAAATGGATAAATACTTTCCCAAAAAGGGTCTAAATCTTAGACACTTAGATGCTAAGCTTGGGTGCTTAGAAGATAAAAGTTATTTTTCATTCCCTGATCACAACTTAGATGTGTTTTAAACCATGATTAAGTTATAAAAAAAGTGAAATGCAGTACAAAGACCTTACTTCCCCCTTAACCATTTCAGATTAAGTTGACAAACTGATGCCCCCCAAAATGTTTGTGGGCATACATTTCCTACCAACATTCTCCCATACGATCATAATACAGGTATCAAAGTAAAATTCTGTAATATTTATGTAGGTTTTATTGGGAACTATTTTTTGAAACTGTTTAATCATCCCTCACCAAGGTAGACTGAAATAGTGCCTGTATCAAAAGACTTGAGTTTTGCAGAGGTCACGGGGATGGTGCAAGGTAGTGAAAGGTTTGTTCCCAGGGTCGCTATGCGTCATAGTCAACTCCATGGCATCTAACGTAACCTTCCTCACCAGATTTTTAAGATACCCATAAATTCTATGGTTCTCAAACAGGGAAGTGGCTGCCAAAGGCACTTTTTGGCAATGTGTGGAGATATTTATTTTTTTTTTAATATAATAACTATGACCAATGGAAACCTTAACATTTTCTATGTGGCACATATACTCTTTCTATTGGACAGTATTAGTCCAAAGCAGTACCACCTAATGGCTGGAAGTCAGCATAAATACCTTTCAATGCACAGGATAAACCTGGAGACAAAAAGCATCCAGGGCACAAGTCAATAGTGCTGCTATTGGAAACTTTGGATTAATTATTTACTATATGTCTGGCCTCACTGTTTTAGTTAAAAGGTTGTTGTCTGCCATTTTTGCTAGTGTTCCCAGAGGAAGCCCATCCAAGCTTGATTTTATGTCCTTTAGACATACTCCTATGATTCTTTGAGCAACTCTTTTTCTTTCTGCAGCAACAAGATCAATCCATTCAACAAACTCATGTTTAATGTGTATTTTCGCTGACACAGCCCTTGAATCAGGCATTTTTTTTTATTATTATTATTTTTGTGTGAGTGTACCGTCAAATCAGATCTGACTGGTACAGGAGGAGACTGTCCCTCCTTCCCCGGCAGAGCATCTGGTGGATTCGAACCGTGCACCTCTGGGATTGTAGTTGCAGCTCCTTGCCACTAGGCCACCAGAGCTCCCCTGAATCAGGCATTTCTAAAAGAAGATCTGGTGTTTGGTTTCTGTGTGAGAGAGTGGAAGGGAAAAAGATCTTTAGAATTCAGAATCTGGGCATGAGACGTGTTCATTGCTATTGGGTATCATATTTCTAGGCCCTCTCTCAATGTACAAAGCTAGAGAATACAAGTACACACACACACAGAGCGATCTACTCTTAAGTCTATTTCTATTCTTAAAAGCTATGCCTTTACACCAATGTATCCAAATCCAATGCCAAAATTACAGAATAATGTCTAGCTTTTTCCATTTCTATTACTCATTTTTCTAACAGAGTCCTGGTTTCTATCATCTTTAACCTATTTACTTATCTAGTCAATAACACTATAAATAGTTCTTTTATGGCTGGACTGAGACAGCTCTCTGCTTACCTCCAGGGACTCGTGGAAATCTGGTGCTGACTCAGTCAAAATTAGGACAAGGAGGCTAGTTACAGAGTCATAACGGTCTGCTTAAATTTCAAAATATCACTGGTACTATCTGGAGATGAAATGTATTCTATGCACCTAAAATAAAAAACTTAAGATGCTGCACCAGTGTCTTGGTCCCAAGGCTTGACTGTGCTGTCTTCTCTCCATTTCCACCATTGTCCCAACACAGTCATTCTGCTCATACCCTGACAATTCACACCCAGTCACCTTCCACAGGGACACCCTGGTGACCCTGCCTGAAGCCTGACTTCCCATAGCAGGCTACACCCTACACAAATGTCTACCTGACTCGCTGCTGTCCTGGCTCCATACTAGCCCACCAAGCTCCCACTCACATTCCAAATGCCCACCTGCCTCTGTCCCACAGAATGGGTTGGGGACTGAATTATTAGGGAAAGAGGATGAGGAAGGCAAAAGAGGAGAAAGGTCACATTTTTGTGGCTTCTAGAAGAACCCCAGTGGGGTTTGACATGTGACGTTAAGATTTTAGGCATTGCAGATTATTTCTGCTGTACCTTTTTTATTTGTGAGAGTGAAGATTTTTTTCTTTCCATCAAATAAAACATTGTCCTATCTCTGAAGTCTAAAGATTTAACATGAGAGAAAGTTGCAAAGAAGTGCCTTCACATTAAACAGGCTTAAACAGCTTGCATGGATGTATCAGGTAAGATTATGTCCAGATTATGTTTACTTGAGAGCCAACGCCAAACAGTAAGAAGTCCAAGGCATGCTTGTTTCTCTTTCACTTAACCATACACAGTTCAGGGGTCCCTGCTGTCTCACTGTTCACCATCCTTACAAGTGGTTTCAAGGCCATAATCCAAGAAGGAGCTCAGCTTCAGCAGCCATGTGTATAGTGCCACTGAGAAGAAGAAAAGGACAAAGAAAGCCTTCTTGTTTTAGGAAACTGTCCAGAAAGTGTACACTTGGATTAACAAAATTCTGTAATATATGAAAAAAAACAAAACTATAAAAAAAAAAAACAGAAAATCACCACCACTGAGCTATCCCAACATCTGATCACCCTATAGGACAGAGCATACCTGTCTCATTGGCTTTCCAAGGCTGTCAATATTTACATAAAAATACAACCTCATCATTCACCCACAGAGCAAATGGTGAGTTTGAACCAACAGATCTGCAGTTAGCATTCCAATGCCTAACTCACTGAGTAACCAAGGGTTCTTCCTAGCAATGAGGCTGGCTGAAAATCAAGTCTAAAGAGCATATCACAGATGCTCATAAGCCACATAAATGTAAGCCTTTTATTAGTAAGATTTGGGGTCAATGGTATTTGAATGGGAGAATTTTGGCTCACATGTGCAATACCTGAGTTCGATTCTCCACTAATGTACCTGTCAGGGGAGAATGGTGTGTTACTGTAATGCTGAACAGGGCTGGAGAGAGCTTCAAGATTAAGGGAGACTTTCGAAAGAAAGGCCTGGCAATCTACTTCTGAAACATGAGCCAAAAAAGGCAGACAGATCAAACAGTCCAAGCTGCACCAGTAATGAAAGTCATACAGGACTGAGCAGCACTCAGTTCCATTGTGGATGGAGTGGCCACGAGCCTGGAGCTAACATGTCATCATCGAGTACTTACATTAGCAAGAAAGATGGGGCAAATTCACAGATAACCAGCAGTTTCTCACAAAAGCAGGCTATTCATTTAAAAGTCACAGAAATCAATTCTAATTACAAAAGGAAATGAATAATACTTCTGTGTCTTCCTGCCTTAATTTTTTTAAAAAATATCATGTGTTCACTAATTACTAAAAAGAAAAAAATTTGGTTTTCTCTAAGGCAAAGTTACAATGAAATCAGAGACCTGATTAGGGAGCACTAATTCTTTTCAATAATTTTATTTTGTCCTTTCACCAAATATTTAACACTACTGCAGAAAAAAAAATATATAAAAATGAAGGGTGAAAAAAATCTTCTCTTTTTATCACATAAAGAAAAGAACTTCAGTTGTTGTTTTCCCTGGTCACACCACTAGGACATATTTTTCTTTCACCATTGTTACCGGGTTACATGTCAAAATAGGTGAAAGGGAGAAAAACTAGAGCAGGAAAGAAAAAGTTAACAAAAGGTCTTTGAGAAAATATTTAGGGTAACAAAGGACTCAGAGCTGGGCCTGCAGGGGTGGGCAGTTAAGCTGGACACAAGAGAGAGAACCCCACAAAGCCTGGGACAGGCAGAGCCTGAGTAGCAAGAGACGAGATGTATTTATACAGCCCGCCACTCCTTTCCACTTGTGAGCGGCCGCTTCATTGTGACTCTCCTGTGCAAACTGCGTTGTTCAAAGAGAAGGCAGAAATGCGCTGCCAAAATAGAATGGATTCTGTAAAAGAACAAAAGCAGCCCTGCTCACACGTTGGAGAAATGGAAGCGGGCTGCACCCACTGACCTCAAACACTGGAGGAGTTTCCACTGCGTTAATAACCCACTCCTGAAGCAGGCACTGCTAACACCCACTGTCGAGAGCAAGCAAGGA